AGACACATACACACATAGACATACACACACACACACACAAACACAAACACAAACGCAAACACAAACACAAACACAAACACAAACACAAACACGCACACACACACACACACACACACACACACACACACACACACACACACACACACATACACACAATGTAAACACACGCCCCAAAAGACTTCCAACCCACATAAGAAGGCCCTCGTCAGCATTCAGGTAGTAAATTCAGTGACTGGAACCGCCCCCCCCACCTGTCCCCCCCCCACCCCCCTTCCCGTCCCCCCGAACCCATCTCTCCCCACGTATCAAGCCATTTCCCCCATCTCAACTTCATCCCTCCCCCCCCCCTTATCTCTATCCTCCCCATCTCAGCTCCATCCCCCCCCCGCCTTATCTCTCTATCCTCCTCATCTTAGCTTTATCTCTTCTTATCTCTCTCCTTCCCTTTTTCATCCCACTTTCCTTCCCATCCCTCTCCTATCCTATTTTTATCCCGCCTCTCGCTATCTCCCCTCCCCCCCCCTCATCCCACTTCCCTCTCCTCATCTCACCTCGTCCCACCTCCCCCGTCTCCCCCCCCCCTATATCACTCCCACCCCCCTATATCACTCCCACCTCCCCTACCCCTATATCACTCCTACCTCCCCCACCCCTATATCACTCCCACCTCCCCCACCCCTATATCACTCCCATCTCCCCCCATCTCCCCCACTCCTATATCACTCCCATCCCCCCTCCCCATTCCCCCCACTCCTATATCACTCCCTTCCCCCCACCCCCCCAATCTCCCCCCTTCCCCCATAAAAATCACGCCATGGCACCCAGTAAGCGTGACCCAGCGTGACGGGTGCCTCATCAGGGTATATTACGAGAGGCATCGCCCGTGAACCTCCTTGTTTACTGTGGGATCTCATCTATGGCGTCGAGGGGGGGGGGGGGTGAAGCGTGGTGGTTGTGGGGGGAGAGGGAGGGGGGATGGGAGTAAGGGGGATGTGCTGGGTGAAGCGTGGTGGGGGAAAGAGGGAGGGGGATGGGTGAAGCGGGGTGGTGGGGAGGGAGGGAGGGAGGGAAGTGTGGTAGGGGAGAGAGGGGAGGGGGATGGGTGAAACGTGGTGGTGGGGGGGTGGATAGGGAGGGGGGATGGGGGAAAGGGGAAGGCGAAGCGTGGTGGGGGAGAGAGGGAGGGGGATGGGTGAAGCCTGGTGGTGGTGGGGGGAGGAGGGGTAGCGAATCACTAGCACCCCTTCCTGCAGGACATGATTACCATCCGCCTATTCGTAAAAGTGTGAGTTGTTTTGTAGGGGAAAAAAAGAAGAATAAGCAAAGGCGAAGAAGGAAGAATAGATGGGACAGGGGGAAGGATAGAAGGGGGAGGGCATTGTCTGAGTGGCACGTGGTTTATCCTGGTTTTTATTTATGGATGGCAGGATTGTCGAAGAGTTTCTAAAGGTAATCCCAGAGGGCTAGAGTTTGGGAGAGGATGAGAGAGAGAGAGAGAGAGAGAGAGAGAGAGAGAGAGAGAGAGAGAGAGAGAGAGAGAGAGAGAGAGAGAGAGAGAGAGAAAGGAAAGAAAGAGAGAAAGAAAAGATAAAAGAGAGAAGGGATAACAGAGAAAGAGAGGCAGAGTAAAGGAAAAAGAGGACGGCCGATTCCAGAAAAACAAAGTGAATTATAGAAGGGAAAAGTAAAGGAAGATTTGGAAAAGAGATGAAAAGAGATAGGTCCAGCAAGGGAAGGCGACATCCAACAGAGACCGAGGAGAGGGTTTTTAAGAGAGACCGAGGAGATGGTTTCTAAGAGAGACCGAGGAGAGGGTTTCTAAGAGAGACCGAGGAGAGGGTTTCTAAGAGAGACCGAGGAGAAGGTTTCTACCAGAGACGGAGAAGAAGGTTTCTAATACAGACAGTGGACTGGGTTTCCACCAGTGACCAACAGACCCAACAGACACCGAAGAGAAGAACTCCAACAGATACCAAAGAGATAGTTTCTATGAGACGGCGAGGAGGGTTTTTGATAGAGGCGGTAGAGAGGGTTTCCACCAGAGATGAAGGAGAGGTCTTCCAGGCAGGAAGGGGCGAGGGAAGGCTCAGACGAAGGGGATTTCCAGCGGAGGAAGTGGCGGAAGGGAAGCAGGGCGAAGGAGGGGACGGACAAGCTGCAGTGTCGTGGAGTCTCCCTCGCTGTTTATTGCATTCATGTTGGTGTTGGCTGGACATGTTGACTGCGTTGCATAGTGGGTGTTGGCAGCGTTCGTGACACGGTTGGCAACATGAAGCAGTGTAGATGCTGATATTAAGCCTCATGGCGAGGACTGCATCTCGTTTGAATGATAATAAAAAAAAGATGTACAAGTAAAAATGACCATCTTCTCGACGTCGATGGACCAGTCACCTGATTAAACTTGAGGCGAAGTTCATCTCCCTCGTCGAAGGGAGAGCTCTTCGCCCCCCCTCCTCTCTCTCTCTCTCTCTGCGCTGCTTCCTCTGCCGCCGTCTGTCGG